ATGTATGTATGTATGCCCGAATATTCAGTGGAGTCCGGAAATTACACTATGCGCCAAAAACATGGTAGCAGGTTTCATGTTCCATCCAATCCGGTCATCCCTCGGCAATCAATGGCAATGAAAAAGCTTCTCATCAAAACTATTTGCCGCTAGGAGGCGGGAAAAAAATGATCGGTCCCTCCATCTGTGTATTTCTATAAATTATTTTTTACTTTTTAGTTCACATTGTAATAAAAGAGAGTTTTTAGTTTTAAGCTATAATTTTATTGCAGTTAAGGGCATACACTTTCGCACTGATTTCGCGTATTACCAACAAGATGGGGTCACTATAACCTATAAGTCCCATACAGCTGATATGAGATTGTGCATTATAACTCCTTCAATTATGCAGCTAGGAATATGAAATTTCGCTCCATTTTCACTTATTATCAATAAAGACTTTTTAGTGAAAATGATAAAGATCGGGCGCTATAACTCATAGCTCCCATAAAACTGATTGTTCAGACATCAGGATTCATTCACTTAGATTGCTAAAACCGTGTAATTTTGTGAGCGTTTTCGTAATTAATACAAAATCGACCGAGAAAATCGGTCGGTGTCCATTCGAACGACATGGCCAAGCCAGCGGAGCCGCTATATTTGAATTCGCTGCACTATGCCCATGTCGTTGCACAGCTCATACAGCTCACCATTAGCCTTATTAAATTAACGACTTAATGACTTTCAGTGGTTATTTTTTGGGGACTTAGTATCACAAGGCAATTGTGACGAAATTATTTCTGCCCACATCTGAGTGCTCACAACAAATACATATGTATGTATGTACATCCATAGAAATGTGTGTATGCAATTGTGCATAAATATGTATGTTGGGACTATCACAATGAATAGCTGTGTGCTCTTTTACGCTTGGCGCAGCTCCATCAAAAAGCGCTGTGCTCATATGCAGTACATATAATTTGCCAATAGGGGTATGCGCTTGCACTTGCTGACGTACAAACATACAAATTAACATAGCACATATGTGTGTATGTAGATACATCTGTATATGCATAGCTATATTGCCATGGATATTTGTATATGTACATATGTCAAGCCATGCATTATATTATGACATATTTTTTTTGATATAGTATTTGTGTAGTTGTTGTACTTTTTATTTGGAACACTGAGAGCGCAAAATAAGCACACACAAATGATGGTGGGGCGCAATGGCTGATGGCTGGGGGCGGTCAGCACAAAAAACGAACACAGGCACTAGTATAGACGACGTAGAACGACGTACCATACAACAGCAATTGCATGCAATGTGATTGCTGCCAAAAAATTGCAACGAAACGCAGCAGCAGCAGCAGTGCCGCAGTAGCTGCGCAGTTAGCCGTGATGCTATGAAGCAAACAGCGCGGTTAGCGTAAGCTGCTGTAAAGTACTTCATAGTGAGTCGAACGTAGTTTTGTGAGAGCGGGTACGTTTGCTAGCTGGTATATTATGTAGTTGTTGTTTATAGTGGCGACGCCGATGCGATGATTGCGATAGTGCTGGCGAAGCAGCCGCCGGAGACGACGATAACGACTGCGTTAACTTCGACGTCCACCTCGCCCGTGTATTGGCTTGCTTGCTGTTTGCGCTGGCAGCGGTGCCGCATACACTACGTACGGAGTACTGCGTGAATCCTAGCGTTTGCTTGGGTTTAGTCAATCGAGATTCGCGGTTGATGTTGGTCGTGTTTTCGGCAAACAGTTCTACTGAGCAACATAATACAGAATAATAGTATATACAGTATAAATGGCACACACAACATAGAAAATTAAAATAATACAATAACAAGGTGTCAGCTTCTTACCTGCCTCAACAAAATTCAACAATACAATATTGAAGTGTTTGTAAATAGTCAATGAGTGAAGATAAAAATTATTTTAACAGCAGATATTTAGTAAAGGGAAATATAAATATAGCGAGTTAACTGTAACGACGATAACGAATTTCGGTGATTTCGGGTAAAAAGAAACGAATTTTTTTGTAAAGTATTGCATGAATTTTACGAATATTGTAAAGGAAGTAAGTTTATGGTATGGGAAAAGTAAAAATTGTTGAAAAGCGATAAAGTTAATTAATTGTTGCAAATTACTAGTTACGGGGAAAAAAAAGAAAAAAAAATAAAAACCAAAATTTAAATAGTTAAAAAAAAAAAATTAAACAAATTTATTCACAAATCCTCATAATTTAACCGCAAACATTCCTAAATTCCTTTTACAATAACCTAATTGCCAAAAGTGTCGCTTCTGCTAGTACAGGAACAACACCGTGGATTATGTTCCTTGTATAAGTGGTTGTGTGCACTTTCCGTAAAAAATTGCAATTCGCAAACAAATACAAATCAAAATAATAATAATCAAGTTTACACCAAATAAAGTCAGAACTTACAAATAAACCAGAAACAAAAAATAAACGCTAAAAAACTCTCAAAACAAACCACAGCAGCAGCGGAAGCAGTTTAAGTCCGTGGCACGGCCAGGCAATCAGCCACCAAACCAGCACGTCAACAAGAACGAACAACTACAGCAAGCGCAAATAGCAAAATTTTTAAGAAAACCACAATAAAAACTAAACAAAAATCTTGCAACTAATGAAACCAACAACAACAACCAAACAAGCTTACAACCAAACCGCCGATCAAGTAGCCAAAAAATCTACTAAAAAAACACAGGCAGTCAGTTAGTCAGTAGTGGCAGTCAGTGCAGTTGTGCAATATTTGCAATGCAACTGCTATGCAGCAGCAGCTTGCAAGCTAACTACTAACTTGCGATTTTAGAAGTAACATTACAACAGCCATAGTTGGAGTTAAGAATTGATTTTTGTTTTTTTTTTTTTTTTTTTGAAAGTGAAAAATCAACCACAAACAACAGTCAAAACTATAAAAAAAAAAACTAAAACTTCTAAATGTTACAACTGCAAGTTGTGCAATAATCGCCTCCTCCACTTTTGACCACTGCCACCTTAGCCAAGCGTGCGGGCACATAGTGTCGAGAATCGTGTTTGTTTGCATTTTTCCCCTGTGCTGACTTTTTTTTTGGGGTTTTTTCGACAATTGGTTTAACGTCAAATTTCCTGTTATTACTCTTTGCACGCGTGCATAGCTACAAACATACATAAATGTGTTTTTTGGATTTTTGATTGCGCTCCTTGCAAAAATGAGTGGACGACGCAACAGCAGCGGCACTTCATTCACAAAAACCAGTGACAGTAAATGCAAATGCAAGAAAAGTGTAAGGAGGCTGTGCGAAAAATTAACTATAACATATTAAACGAATTGTAAGTTGCAAAAAAAAAAAAATATTTTAAAGAACAAAAATTAAAAACAAAAACAGCAAATAAGAATAAAGAAAACTGCCACATACTAATAAGCGTTGCACAGAAATTGTGAAATAAAAACGAAAGCATTGCGTAAAAATTGTGTAAAATTTAAAGTACAACAAGATACGCCAGCAGTGACAAGCAGAAACATTGCGCTAGTCGCGATTGTGTGCTGGAGAACGCACCTAGCGTTTTTAGATAACAAAACATTAGTGACGAATACAACAAGCAAGAATTGCCAAAATAAATTTTGTGAATAAAGTAAAAAATAAAAAATAAATAAATAAAATTGCCAAAAAAATTTGCAACGTAAATCTAAAACATTTTGTTCAAGCAAACAATTGCGAAACTAAATAAAAAAAAAAAAAATTGTGAAAAACTTCAAACAAATTAAAAAAAAAAGATATTTGCTTAAAAATAAAAAAGTGCACTGAAAACGCAACAATCCTCACTCCAAAAAAATACCCTCAAAATTATGATAAACTAAATTAAGTGAACATTTGCAACCAAAAAGCAAAGTACCTAACTGAGTCATTACAAAGAAACAAAATTAAGTGCAACTTCAAAGTAAACCATTTACCCTCATTAAAAAATAAACGAAAAAAAAACAAAAAGTGCAACCCTGTGTGTGCCTCCGCTGCAATTCAAGTGCAATCTCACTAAATAAAAGCAAAGCAAAAGGCAAAATAAAGCAAGCACATACATACAAATATTTTTCGCAACAACAGCTAAAAAAAAACTAAGAACAGTGCAACAACTCACCATTGTGCGAACAAACAGTAGCGTATAATAAAAGTGTAAAAGTGGAGACATAAAAACGTGCAATAAAAGGACTTGGGCTACATTGTATGTAACTGCAGCTGTGCGTTTGTGTGCAACTGCCCCCTAACTCGCTTCATTTGGCTACACTTCTACACTACTACTCCTCCCACCTGTAAAAACGCTATTACTGCCCTGCAGACACAGGCGTAAGGCGCATTGCATAAAAGATGTGTAAAACAAACAAGCAGTGAGAATAAGTGATGAAAAATCGAAAAATTGACGTACCTGCAAATAGTAAAAAAACATATATACATACATATGTACATACATACATATATAATTGTTGTGTACATACAAACATAAATCGAGCGCATTGAGCACTTAGCGTTTATTAGCAATAACTTGTATTAATTACATATGTACATGTGTACATATACACAAGTGTATACGTCATTTGCGTGCAAAAAAGCGGAAAAGTAACTGTGTAAAAGGATATGGAAAATTTATTGTTGCAAGAAAGCACCAGCGTCAAGCGAGTTTTTGTGAAAGCTAAAAAGTAGAATAAAGCGCCAGCAAAAAGTGTGAAAAGCAGTCAGAAAGGCATACAAGCTTGCTGGAGAAAGGATAACAGCGCACTACAACATGCCAAATTGAGTATAAATAAATAAATAAATAAATAAATAAATACTACAAAACAGCAGCAATCAATCAACCAATACACCTCAGCAGCACCACCAAATAAAAGAAAACAAAAATCTATAAAAAATCGATTAATTCAAAAATACGAATTTAAAAAATATAATTATAAGTAGATAAGTAAAAACAAAAAGAAACGGTAATAAATAGCTACAAAAAAATATAAAAATCTAATTAAATATAAAAAAAAATAAATGATAAAACACTTTAAGAAATATCGACTCACAAAAATTAATATTCCAAAAAAGTAGTACTGTTACAAGTTTACAGCGTAAAACGCCAACTTATTGCAACCACTAGTTAGCTGTACAGTAACTAAAACAAAAAAAAAAAATAGTTTTTGGGAAAATACACCAAAACTTACGAGTATTTCAACAACGCAAATTGTATTGTTGCTATTTTGTCGGATAAAATTTAATATTTTTACCTTTTTTATGTTTCTGTGAAGTGTGAAATATCAAGAACAACAAGCAAATAGTGCAGTTACTAAGTATTAAAACAGCAACAAGCACAACAACAATACGCAAACTCATGAAATTTTAATGACACCAAGAACTATTGTTCAAACAAAAACGGCGAAAAGCATAAGCCAACTCTACCAACAACAAAAACAACAAAACGAAAAATAGCAGAGGCGTAAAACAAAAGGCCTGAAAGGAGAAGGCGTGTTGTGTTTTACAACAAACAAACAAATAAATACAATAAAAATTAAAACAAAAACAAAAAGGGCCAATAGAAATTCCCAAGCAGTTGTGTGTGTGTGTGTATGTGTGCGTGGCAGTATATGTTTTTACGTCTATGCATGTCAAAAACTTGTTAATTTGTGCATCGTAAATCATTTCGAAACGTCCAAAGTCACAATATTGTCATCAACAACAACAGCGACACACTAATAACTGTGTACAGTGGGTGGTGACACACACAGGCAGTCGTCAGTCGCGCAGCAGCAGTAGTCGTCAGTCATACAGTGACGCGCGCGCTCGCACATACTAAGGTACCTTCATAGTGACGACGACGACGACGACGCAGACAATGCAAACGACCACATCAACTGCAGGCGTGTAAATTTTTTGTTGTTTTGTATCTATCTGCAGCTATTATCAACGCCCTACCTACACGCCCAACAACAGCTACACACCTACAACTACATAAATTAGCTACCAATTACCTGAAAAGTCGAAAGGCAATTCAAGCGTACTCACTCAACCTACTACCTGTCAGCCTCGCAGCATACTGTTTACGGTCTTCTCCTACCTTTACGCGTTAAATTTCCGTCCTCCGTCCAACTAGGCCTCCCGCAGCAGCAAGCACATTGCGAGCATTTACTAGCCAAATTAGTACGAATTATTGTTTTCCATCCTGCTGCGGCATTCACGTTTTCTTACGTTTCTTCCTGTGAAACGCACGCGCGCACGCTTAGTTGCAAGCGCATTTCGTTTCACTGTCACACTGCGCTTCATCATTGTTGCTCCGCGCGCCTAGCGTTGGTGGTAGCAACAACCTGCGCGCAGATCTTCTACAAGCGTAACGCGCCAATTCGTTTTGCTGCGCTCGTTTAGAAATTTTTGCATATCTACTCCCTTTAAATGTGTTGCGTGCGCTGGACGCGTTCAACAGCAACAGTGCAAGAGTAGAGTGCGTGAAAAATGTTATTAAAAATGGAACAGCAACAAGCAACAGCGTCGTTTATATCGTCGCTTAATATGTCACCATTCACCATGCAGCTGGATCCACAACAGCCGTCCAGTCCAGCTTTGGGCTGCACGGGCGGTCCCAATAGTGGGCAAACAAGCGCCAATTCCAGCGCCGCCTCCAATCGTGGCAGCGGTGGCAATGCAGATGCAACAGCGCTTAATAGCGCCGAAGCTGATTATAGCGCTTATGCGCTCCACTTGAGCGCTGGCAGTGGCGGTAATACGGCGGGCAGTGGCAATAATGATGGCGTTGCGGGCAATACGGGCAACGCACATCATCAACATCATCATCACCAGCAACAGCAGCAGCAGCAGCAGCAACAACAACAACAACAGCAGCAGCAGCATTATCAGCAACATTATCAAACACAGCAACCGCAGCAGCAGCAGCAGCAGCAACAACTGCAGCAGCAACAACAACAACAACAACAACAGAATATTGCCAACAATCCCAACTTTTCATATTCGTATATATATAATTTTGATTCACAATACGTATTTCCGACAGGTTATCAAGACAATACGTCATCACATTCGCAACAGAGCGTTAGCGGCGGCGGTGGCGGTGGTGGCCCGGGCTCTGGCGGTGGTGGTAGTAGCGCCAGTAGTAATGTCACCAATGTTGTACTACTCAATGGCAGTAATCCAAATGCTGCTGGTGGTTATATGACACTCCTGCCACCGGCCACCTCGAGTGGTCAAATGGGCATATCGGCGGGCGGCACAAGCGCTAGCGCTGGTGGTGGCTCCGGTGAGGGTATTGATTTCAAGCATCTCTTCGAAGAGTTGTGCCCCGTTTGCGGTGATAAGGTGAGCGGCTATCACTATGGGCTGCTGACGTGTGAGTCTTGCAAAGGTTTCTTCAAGCGTACCGTGCAAAATAAAAAAGTATACACATGCGTCGCTGAGCGTTCCTGTCACATCGATAAGACGCAACGGAAGCGTTGCCCCTACTGTAGATTCCAGAAATGTCTCGAAGTGGGCATGAAACTTGAAGGTGAGTGAATAATACATTTTTTTTTAATTTAACCTTTTATTTTTCTATTGAATGGAATTGTATGTTTTTAATGTGTAAGAGAATTATCCCTATTAAAATGGTTTAGAATGTTTTAACTGAAGAGCAACAAATAGCAAGGTGTGCGTACATAGGTATAAAATAAAATAAATAAGCCCAATCTGAATTTATGATATTTTACATACGATGATATTATATTGAGAGGGCCGCTGCACCGAAGTACAAAACTGGAATTTACTCTTTATAATTCAATGAAGCCTTCATTTTTCAATAAATTTTACTAATACATTTTTTAGTGAAAAGTGCAGAAAAAGTAGTAGTATTACATAAAAAACTAGTTGAAAATAATTTTAGGGTTTCCCTAAAACGAAAAAAAACATTCACAAGAAAAATTCTAAATGTTATAAAATAATGTTCACAAAAGTTAATAGTTAAAAGTTAATGATCTTTAAAAATGCATACACAAAATTTTTCTAAAAACTCACAAGAAAATTTTATCTTGGTAAAAGTTTTTCTTTTGACATTTCGAATATTCAATGGAGAACCGATTTTCTTTAAAATTGCTACTGTTTCTGCATTTACAAAATCGGGTTCAACTGGTCATTTGCCAAAAAAATATCAAATTGATTGAAAACTGAGGGCTGCAGTAATTTAATGAACAGGAATTTCCGGTTTTGAACCACTGTGCGGTGTGGCTGAGTGATTAGAGGTGCGTACTACCAATTCGTAAGACCTGGCTTTGTTCCCAGCTGCGAGCAATAATTAAATTAGGCAACACTTTTTCTAACAGCATTCGGAGGCCGCGTAAAATTGTAGGTCCCTCCATTTGAGTTATAAGATCGATCAGGACGCAAACTACAAACTGCTTGACGCAGTCAATATATTATTATTATTATTATATTAAGCAATGCGTAACAGAAAAATCAGAAGATTCCACATCTTTCAGTATGACGGAAGTAGAATATTCGAGAAAAAGATATGAATGAAGATATGTGTGTTGCCATAGTGGCTCAATGAGTCAGTTGGCAATGTGGTGTATTTGAGGGAGTACCCCGCAAGAAAATCAAAGTTAAGCGGACTAGCCATTATTTTTGAATTATATTTAAGAGTCCGTTGCATGACAAAAATAGTTTGCACATCTTTCAAAGCTTTTATTTTTGGTTTTGTTTTCTGCGCATATGTAATTATTGAAGATGTGGAAAATAATTAGCGAAATAGTGAATAAATATGAATTCATAAAACTCTTTTGGTTTATGTACAGTAGACCGTTCGTTAAAAATAAAATTTGGTTTGCCGGGTGGAAAAAGATGTGTTTTGGTCTAAAAATAAGCTGTGCCAAATTTTATTCGAATATGATAACTCCAAGTACTTGCGCGTTGCATTTGAAAATTTAGAAAACCATATGCATTCTGGGAAACAATTTTTTAACAAAATAGTTGAAAGTCGTGAATTTTATAGTCATTTGCCATGTAAAATAACCTACACAATCTGAATATGAGGTCAAAAATTAAAAAGGTAGAATACGTTTTAAAAATTTGCGAAATTATCGTCTTTTTCAAATTGAGATAACAGCATTTTCAATTTTTTCCAAAAATATCCGGTTGTGATTATCACACCACAAAAAGATCTCCACCAGATTAAAGGTCTTTGAAATCCCTACGAACCTGCTATACAATGTTTTGCAATCAAATTATCAGTTTAAGAGTTATCTGCCAATTTATTAGTGAAGTCGGACACAATTTTAAGTCGCATCGTTATTCTACTGTGAATTACACCTAAAAGCTGCAAACTTGTTGTTCTTATTTTTATGCTATGTTAAAGCTTATTTAATTTCAAAGTATATAGATCCAAATTTTTTGCAAATCGATTTGAAAATAGAAAAGTTATAGCAAATTTAGTAAATGACATTGGATTCAAGCAACGTATCGATACTGTACAGCACATTTGATTGTAAAATAAATTAAAATATCATTTCCAGAGGCATGTTATGCACATCGCAATTAGAAAAACAACTGACAATAGGTTTGTTTCATTAAGCAATAGTTTTAAATATTTTTTAAAAATTGTTACAAATTATCATGCTTTGGCTAGCAAAAAAGTTGATAAAATAAGATAAATTGAGATAGCAAAATAACATTTGATTTTTAGATAAGGTTTGGAAGTTTCTGCGGGATACATTTATACTTGTAAAACTGAAACAATGGTACTTATTGAATGTACTATGTATTTATATTATGATCCTTATTTTCAAGTAATACTACGCTCAAAATAATGTCTAATAACCGCTGGAAAAGCTCATCTGGTCAACCTAGTGCCCAGTAGGCAAATTCAATAAAATGTGGCCAAATTTGATAAGAAAAGAATATTTCAGAGAAAGCTTGTAAAAAATGAAACTATATTTCATGATTTTTTAATAAACAAGTGCCGATTTATTGTGTAATGTATATTTTTTTTGATATGCTTCCTCAACACCAAAAGCTTCAGCTGCTGCAACCAAAATATGTACTGCCTTCCCGGAGGATACTTTGGCATCGTCCAGTAACCAAAATAATTTTTTTTTGTTCCACATCATATGCCAAAGTTTTTTTTTTACCGTCAGTATAGTATATTTTATTTAAAAGAAAACATGCGATATTTGCTATTTTGTTTGTCCGTAAACTATAGGCTTAAGTTGTTCTTTAAAATGTCCACAGATACATATGTATATTTCTTCCTGGAAAATTGTATTCTTTATCCTGTAGAAACTTTATCTGTTATTTTTTCTCTCTAAATTTATCCCTTTTTTATAAACTTTTTTGCAGTTTTTTTCGTATTAAACCGCCAAGCCCTGATAATTCGTAACAACTGTTCCAAACTATTACAAACTATTGCTTAATAAACAAACGGTTATTAGACATTCTTTTGATCGTAGCATTACTTGAAAATAAGGATCATAATATAAATACATAATGCATTCAATAAGTACCATAGTTTCAGTTTTACAAGTATAAATGTATCCCGCAGAAACTTCCAAACCTTATCTAAAAATCAAATGTTATTTTGCTATCTCAATTTATCTTATTTTATCAACTTTTTTGCTAGCCAAAGCAATTCCTTGCATTAGCAATTCGCTAGTGAATAGTAATGCAACTGTCAACACTCCGATATATCATATAATAACGATTTTCTGCATAACTGGACGTTAGACAGTTCGCTAGCCAAGAAACTAAATATGTGCGCCCACCGATTATTTTATAAAATATTTTAATGAAACTTATCAATTTGGCAAACTATTTTTATCTTCCAACTTAATTTTCGGAAAAATCTGGTCCTCTGAAAGCTCCGGGCCCGGACGGAAATATCTGACTAGTGCTCACATCTGAGAGTCGGCTATATCGCCATCGTTCCACCGGGGGCCGATCTACAGGGATGCCCTTCTTAAACTTCTTAGTCGACGATGGGGGTGTTCGTTCATTCAGTTCAAATTGTTTCGGTATTTGAAGTAGAATTTCGGCATAAAATAAAAAGTTATGAAATTAAAAAAAAATGGGCGTACCACCGCCCACTTATTATGAAATGTTGTTTCTCTGTAGTCCCTTTACCAATCCCCACCAACCGCGGTGCAAACATTGTTTAGGGCCTCGTCAAAAAACCCATTGAAAATGTTTGAAATCGGACTAAAATTACTGCCACTTACCATATAACGGTATACCTCAGACCTACGAAAACTCCGATATTTCAGTAACCAAACATGCCAATTTACAACAATCTTCTAGCAAGACAAGCAATTATTTCAATATCACATGGCATATTATTGAAACTGTTTGACATCGGGAAAAATACTCTTCCTTATCGTGCAGTTTACTGAAAGGTGAATAAACGATATTTGATACGTACGCCGGGTATATACATAAAGTTCGGTTTCGCCCGAACTTACTTCTCTTAATTTTTTTTTTGTATGTATGTTACCGCATAACTTAGGACCACGTTAACCAAATTCTATAATTCTTTTTTAAAGGAAAGGTGCTACCTCAGAAGTGGTCGCAAACTTCGGTTTATTCGGTTTAGATCGCATCATTGAATCTTGAAGAAATTAACGATCCTCTGAAATTTGTATATGAGAGTTGAAGTCGGTTTAGTTTTTTTGCTTAACAATTACTTGTTTTATTACTAGTTGGACACGATATGGCGCCGCTGTGGGCACCGAGTGAATTTACGTTACAATGTTCATCGTAATCTAACCTAACGTCAATTCCAGAAAATGTTTCAAAACGACTCCGCACAGTTGTCCTTAGACATTTTCCACAACACTTGTAAGTAATAAAGCATATCGCATTTACTTGGAATGATAAGCAATAATAACTATTTATGATTTCATGCCAACATTTATTAGACAGTTACAATGTACCTAAACAAATAAGAGCATTTAATCGATACTTTGTCTTTCGTCGCCTCATTGGTTCGTTGTTGGTCTCTTGGTTGGTTGAGTCGCACGAGAACAAGTGCGGCTAGAATAGAAAGAAGAGGTGTTTGCGGAAGGAAATTTATTTCACTCACCTTACTCTAGAATGGCTTGGTGCACCAGTCGCGAGCACATACGAAATACTACTCTACCAGCTAGATTGCCAAGTAGTTGTGAATGTTTTTTATCGCATACCTTTTTGGGACTGGTTGGGTAAGCGAAAAATTTGAAAAGCGGTGAGAGCTAGTAAGGAAGGGATTTGTTTAGGCAAAGGCATCGCTATACATTCTTACTTACATATACATATGTGCATATATATTAGCTTATCGATTTCCATGTGCGCTAGTAGCACCGTCGGTAGGATGCGTTTGGGAACAAAACTATTGTACATAATTTGGCAGCGTTTTCACTTTAATCGTGAAAAAGGCATCTTACAAAGAAGGGAGTTTATAACAAAAAAAGCCTTAAAGCATAAGGAATATAATTAATGTGGCTTTTGCTCGCCTACTTTAACCATAACAAATAAATAAAGTTCTGCGTT